GAAGTAGATAAGAAATTGTTGCTGCACTGCTGAAGCACTCATAAAACTAAGAGAAATTACCAGTGACTATCAGTACTTAATTGCTTGTGTCCCTAAATTTAAGTAACTCGGGTTCATTGGGTTGGTGCCATATTTCAAGCCGTTGCACCGTTAGTTCACGCTGCACTCTAAGTGCAGCAGTTAGGCCAGCTAACTATTAACATCCATATCACATATAGTTTGTTTCACTACGTAGTGCATAAACTTGTATGTAGTTGTAAAGTTGTCATTATTCCCCATTTAATAATCAGTTAGCTCTATAAGAAATTCGGTGTGGTCTAGTGAGACACTGTAAATGCACCTTCATACTATTGGTTCAGCAGACTTGTACTTATAGGACTCTAGCCGGCAACCACTGGGTTTCCGGCCCGGTTCCCTATCAACTGAGCTACGAGGTCCGACTGCTGATCAGGTTTTCATTCCACTTCACTCATCATGAGTTTTGTCTGACTACTATGTGAATTCGTGATGCATTACTGCCACTTGATCGTACTCATACTGGCTGCCCAGTCACCAAACTTGGTGATTGAAGGGGAACAAAAATCTGATCAGCAGTCGGATCTCATAGCTCAGTTGGTAGGGCACCGGGCCGGAAATCCGGTGGTCATTGCTTTGAATCCAGCCGTGGTCAAAATTTTCATTTCACCTTTAATCATCACCCATCAGTACTAGTCTGCCAAACCACGGTTATCTCAGATAGTCAAAATGAGAATAAAGTATATTAAATTTTCAGTAAAACTATGTATTTCGATATTCTGGGTTGTGAACAGTTGACAGGATACCACAAGAAATAAAATGGATCCGTTTTATCCTGATTTCCGATTGTTGTTGTTGCTGTTTTCAAATTCACGAAGATAAATTCGTATATGGAGTCCATAGCCATTGGACATTTTAAACTCAGTCAACGCTCACAAACCGAATCCATGAACAATTTAGAAGAACACTGTGAAATACATTTCTGAAACATAGGCATCATTTATTCTTAACTGTCTTTGTCATAATTATCTGTTCCAAATGTTTTATGCAATATATTATTCCTCTCTTTGTTGCTGACATAATCATCAGCATTCGATCAAGATTTCATCATGAAATGAAATCATTTGGAGAATCATTGTAAACCAGATCAAGATACTTACATATTATATTAAATGGTAGTTATAGTATATCCCAAATTGATAGGAATAGGTAAAGTGTGGATCAGTGGATTTCATCACCGTAACTGAAAGATAACGAACTTCACAAGAAACTTGACTTTCCTGGTTTCGAACTTTTAAATAGTCACTGTTGACAAGTGCCAAACTCAGACGAAACAGCTATTTAGGGTACTCACCTTTTCAATGGTTCTCCAACCGATGTCAGTTTGCGATGACACCAACCTTGAAATCAATAAATTCTCAAAAACTCTGATTTGAATCATCTTTATGGTTATTTTTCACCCCTATGCTAAAACTCATTTCCAGCACAAGTGTAAATTACCCACTTAATTCCCTTCTAGTTGCATATTTACTTTAGACTGTTTGAAGTTGACAAGAAGCTATGAAATAAAGATGACTTCGCTGAATTCCAAAATCCATCTATTCCAGGGAAAAAGCTGTATGAATGATACAAATTTTCTAGATACGAAGACTATCCCCATAACATCATCTCAGTCAACTTTGATGTAGAACTAGAGAAGCTCCTTCAACCCAGTGTTACATGGTAGGTAAAAGTGAAATCATGACAGTTAGTTCCATCCTTTCCAAGATTCATCTGTTGAGTTTATTCAGCTTATTGATGTTGATAATGCTACGATAGTATTAAAATGCTAACTTAGTTATTAATTTTATACCTGAAAGATAATGTACTAACTATCCAGATAACTCATCAATAGAATCTATGCTGTAATTAAAACATTCACTTCTTATCTTCTGTAATCTGTAACACCGAACCCATCAATCAAGTTGAACGGATTACAATAATTATACACTGAGTTTACATTATCATGTTGCTATTAGTCTTTCATTAATACACACATCGCTGATGTGCAATACAATATCACAAATAAAATTTTACTGTATAAGTATGTACTTATTCATAAGATAAACAGTTTTGGCGAATTAAATCTAACTGAATGATGTAATACAACAGAGAGAAATAAAAAAAGGAGAAGAAAATGCACATACATAATGGAATGGTGAATGAAAAATTTAAATTATGTAATTAGGTCATAGTCATATGAGATCTTGGTTTATACAGGTTAAACTATGTAATTATTAAACATAGACCCATTGAAAGAGGTTAACAGAGGGCGATAGAAAGAGAGATATAAAGAACACTACCGTGTTATTAGTGTCTTATCTAGTCCTAAATGATAACAGAATTCGACTGATCAACGTTACACTGTGATCCTGATCATCATACAGATACCAACAGGTTAACACTGAGTAGATGAAGATAATTGGTAGGATTTACATCTGACCTACGTTTCTTACTTGTTTTCATTCATCTGTCAGGTACATCGACAAGCTCGGGAAGACTAGAACTTTTTCAAACATTTTAATGCGTTACTCCGGTTTTATTACTGACAGACTGCTTTATATATATATATATATATATATATATATATATATATATATATATATATATATATATATATATATATATATATATATATATATATATATATACCAAGCAGTCTGTCAGTAATAAAACCGGAAACAATTAAACCAATTATGTTAAAGCGATAAAGAGTAAACACTTAAATTCAGTTGCCATGACAACATTATAACATTGACTGTTTCAAAAGTAGAACAAAAGAATTGAATAAAAATTGAACATCTGGTTTTATTTATATGTTTCTCTGTTGAAAACTTATTTATCAAGTACTAGTTTAGTTTACATGATGTCTTCTAATCTGTGCATATTCCTCAAAAATGTAAATTTTCTGTAGATAGAAATTGCTATAGTTAACTTATGCATAATTTATTTCTCTTCCAGAATTTCATTGATGAACCATTCGAGGCTGACTTGTTGGATAAGACTGGTCTGAACACTAGACAACTGGTTTACTCGTTTACAGTTGAGCTAATCAGTAGATTACCCGAACAGATTCTACCCATTAAGCTCAGTTGTTCCCATAAATAGATTTCATCATTATCGGGGATTTCTAATTACTGTTGTTGTTCAGTGGGATGTTTTATTTGTTTATGACATTGTTGTATCAGAAGAGATCACCCAGTGAAATCTTATCTGAGTGGTTCCTTAGAGAAATCCTACTGACATACCAGTATGCAGTTGGAAATGTGCTCAGCTCCGAGAAATACTAATGTTGACTGTTCTGTCTTATACAAAGTATGTACTGTGATCATTCATTCAAAGACACTGACCTTATCACATGATGTTTACAAAGGTGAACAGTCACCCGTAAAGTAAACTTATTCATATATGAGGATAACTGTCCACCAGTAACATTGAATGATGGTATTCTAGATCAAATTAATTGATCTCTGCTGGTATTTGGACTGCTATACGAAAGCCATGATATTTGGATGATTATTCATTATGTTGTAACTTGCATGGCGGTAGCTAGCAGTGGAATCCAAGACAATGGGAAAACAGATACTGGAAGATTGAAAAATAAGGTATTATTATTATTATTAGTCCCTTGGGTTCCTAGTGGAACATAGGGCGTCAGTAGCACGTCTCCAGTGACCTCTGTTCTCTGAGATCTTTTGAACCTGGTTCCACGACAGCCCACAACCTCTCATTTCCTCCTCACACGACCTCCTCAACGTCACCCTCGGCACCGACGTCCAACTCGTCGCTTCCCATGGGGATTCCACTCGAGTAACTGGCCTGACGCGTGATGTCCCCAGTCGGCCTTCTCAGTGTATGCCCAATCCATCTCCACTTCCTTCATCTGCATATTTGTTGCGTGATAGGTTCTTGGTTTGTTCGTTCCCAGAGCTCCTTGTTGCTTATTCTTTCTGGCAATCCATCTGATCTTCAGTAACGAGCCAGCGTAAGCAGTTGTTGATGAATGTCTGTAGTTTATTGGAAATCCCTTTCGTGACGCGCCAAGTCTCTGAACCATACAGAAGCACTGACTTGACGTTGGTGTTGAAAATCCGTATCTTGTTCCACATGCTGAGTGCAGAAGATCTCCACACTGGTTTCAGACTAATGAAGGCCTGTCTTGCTTTTCCGATTCTGGCTGACTTCGGCGTCCTCGTCTGTGTCGCCTGTAGTTGAAACAGTGCTTCCTAGATAGGTGAAGGGGCTACTTCCTTCAAGTCTCTTCCGTTGATGGTGATTGATGTTTGTTGTTGGTGTTGGTTGAGTATCTTCATCACCTCTGTCTTCTCTATATTCACTTGAAGTCCCGTCTTCGCTGCCTCTTCTATCAACTTGTTAGTTTTTGCCTGTAGATCTTCAAGTTTATGTGACATTAGGCACAAGTCATCACTGGCGAAATCCAAATCTTCTAGGTTCTTTTCCGCAGTCCAGTGTATCCCCAATGCTTATAGATATAGTTTGTTATTTCAAAGATTTTTGATAGCTACTTGTTACAAATTAAGAAAAATCTGACTGGTTGACTTCAGCCAACATTCAGCATCAAAGTATAACCAACCCTATTACTATTCAATGAGAGTTCTATTCATGAACTGGTTGTACAATGATAATCAATTAAGCTGATCAGAGTCGATCTCTTATATTTACAGTATAATCATTAGGCTAAATGAAATTCTAGTAAATTATGCATAGTGTTAAATAATAAAAAATTAAATATATAATTAGTCGTGAGTTAGCTTTTTGTACTGACTTGTACGGACCAACCTTGATGAAGTAACGATTCATAAAAGTATTGAATTCGTATTGCTTAGTGTTAAAGTTACAAACTTTACAGTTGAGCTACATGTGTATATTTTGATTTTCATTAGAGATTACAGCAACGACAAAATAGTTATAATGCATAAAATATATCAGTTAGTATTACAATAAAGTAAATCATCTACCAGCTTACCATAACAACTTAGAGATAAGTTAGTATTGTTAAGCTTAACTACTTCATTAAAATCTTGAAAAATATTTTTCTCACCATTATTATCCAAAAATAAACGTGATGTTAAAATGTTTGCCAAAATTTGATTTTGATCTGATACTGTTAACTGTGGAACAATTTCAGGTGATTGTTGATAGTGCAACTTTTGTTGTTGTTGCATCAGTTTCCGATGTTGATGATGAGACAGAGCCTCATGCTGAAAAGGTGATAAAGGATGTAAGTGTTCCAGTAGCTCTTTATTTATAAGAGCATTCATCATTATGGACATCATATAAGATGATGAATTGATAGGAGAAATTGTTTCAGAATTAAAGTTTAAGCTTAAATTGCTTTGATTTTGATCAGATAAGCTTGTTTTAGAATTTGATATGATATTATTAAGAAATAATTGATTATTAAAGGTGCTATCTTCACCTTTCAAGCTTATTGAGTTCATACTGGTTAGATTTGATTTATCAAAAATACTGAGACCAAATAAATTATGTAATTTTAATAAAATTTGTAGTTGTTCTTCTGTATTAGGATTTGTAATATTCCAGTGACATTGAGATGTTCCAGAAGAATTTTGAAGTGAAGAAGGAGGTGATAATGATGACGAAACTACAGTTGGAATAAAAGTGACATCAGTAGATGAAATTTGTTGGAAAGATGTAGTAAATAATGATGGTTCTGAATAAGCTTGGAATAAAGGATGATTTGTTACCTCATCAACTGGTAAATTATTATCTGAATTAAATGGAGATGTTGACATGATTGATGAAGGCATTAAATTCTTGTTTCTTTCATTCCCCGTCAATATTGAAGATGATATACAATTAGGGATAATTTTTGACCTAAAAACTGATTTCTCACTATTTAAATTACATGATAGGACAGTGGAATTATTGTCAACATCACTTTTCTTCCCTACATCATTTTCTGTTGAACATACTCGATTTAGACTATTCTTGTCAACATTGAATACATTTAAAGGATCCAAAATAACTGATCGATTATAAACATTATTGTCATGATTGTTTTTCTGTTTAATATTTCTATTTTCACTGTTGGCATTTTCCCTAGCCAGCGTAAGCAGTTGTTGATGAATGTCTGTAGTTTATTGGAAATCCCTTTCGTGACGCGCCAAGTCTCTCAACCATCACATGGAAGCACTGACTTGACGTTGGTGTTGAAAATCCGGATCTGAAAAATAAGGTAATGACTGAAATAGACTAAACAGCTGCTTATTCGATCAAATCCTAAATCTTAGTGCAAGTCAGTATTAACTAAGAAAAACAACAACAACAAATGAACCATCAAACAACTTTAATTGTATCTTTCCAGTAGTCTTTTAGAGAAATACATAAAAACAGGAGTGCATAAAACCCTTGAATCTTTGAAATTCAAAATCCTTAACTAACAATTAATAAATACTTCGATGTCATTATCGGAATACAATCAACTTTAATCAAAATAAGTGGACATTGGTTGGTTGGAAGTAGTTGGCAGGAATCCCCGTCACACAGTCTTGTAGTCAGCCACCTTATCAATAAGCTATCCAGGCCGCGACTCACCTCTTCTTTGACTGGCTTACATACATTGATTGGTCAAGGGAAAGCAAGCAATTTCATGTTATCTAATCCTCAGTGAACACCAAATTCCATCGATGATATTTGCAATGTGGCCACCAAGCTAGGAGGCTGAGGATCGCGGTGTACATAGGTAGGTGTTAGTTGGTTGGAGGCAATAGACAGGAAGGTGTAGGCCTAGGTTTTCTGCTTATTGACACTCGTGAGCAAGGTGTATGTCCAACCTGGACAGAATTGATGTCCCATTAGAGATTTGAGACAGTATCACCCAGAGTTGTAGTCAGCAACCTAACTATTAATATATTCGGGCCATGATTAACTGATTATGGACAACAGTCATCAAGCACGAAACCTTGATCCAAGGCTTCCTGCTAATTGCCTCCAACCAACTAAGATCCATCAAAGTACATTGCAATGGTGAGACTCCTAGCGTGGTGGCTACATTGCAAAATGACTGATAGAATCCAATCAATACTCAGAACTAGACAACATGAGAGTAGTTGTCATTCAGTGGTCAATCAATGCATAAATGGATATATTTAAACAGCCAATAACTAGCAGGAAAGTATTTTAAAAGTGGTGGTCAGTGAAATTCTCACATAACTCCAGATATTGCGTGCGTACCAACTTTTGCATGTTATTGTTGTCTACTTGACATGACTTTCATTTTGTTTATAATCTCGGTTAACTATGATCTAACAGTTATGTTGTGTAATGTATTGTCAATTGAAATTTCAGTCTACTTTGTATCACCCCTAAAAAAGAAATAAGTATTATGTTTTATGGTCTCAAATTGTGTCGATCAGGTATACATAACGGTTATCGAAATTTGAGACCTGGCATTGAGATGTACTTTGATTGATGGTAATATTTGGCAGGAACTTGGTTGGAATTTCTACTTACCCTAGGTTTCAAACAGTTGGTAACTTACCTCCAAGAAGATCGTGAATCCTTACAACCCCGAAAGCCACATCGACCAGTACTGCAGCCTTAGATACTACTACTACTAGAATGCAAGAAAAATAACGTTGCATGCCCTTCCGACCATTTAATACAGCCACAGTCGACCAAACAACCATCTTTTTGGATTAGGCATCCCAAATTACATCAAAAGACTCTGAATAACTCAGACATTGAAATATCTTTCGAAATCAACACACACCGCTCTAACATAAACACCCCAGCAAGCAAACTGGATGATTCGTTATTAGGCTTAAAACAGCCTTAATAAAAGAAAAGTGAAGAGGTATATGTTAACAATAAGACGGGACTTCGAAACAAGCTGTTCTAAAATCACTCAACACCTAATAGAGACTTAATGATGTGAAAAGCAGGAACATGAAATCATGCAATGCTAACAACATACAGCTATGCTGTGCCGAAAATGCAGGGGTGCTTTGAGATAAGCGATTATGCCTATGTTCAAGAACAAAACTAAGACACTAAACGTGAACAGGGGTACTAACGCGAACAGATTAACGTCTGAAGAAAGAAATGTTGATTAAGACAGGGATGGCTCACAGATCAAACGCGTCAGCCGAAGGTCACCCACGGAACGTAATCGAATTCTCCTATATATATTCTGGTCGATGCCTCTAAGCAATCAACGACACGAAACTGTTCAACCTGAAAAGAGCAAACAGATACTACCCGAAAAAGGGACTCATAGACGAAGTCCTCATCAAATAAGCTTCTAAGCTAACCTGGGAAATAAAAACCAAGGTAATACTACTTTCGTACGATGAGGTTGTTTGGTACGGCTTAAATTTACCTTCAGAAACTAACTTTATTTTTCACACATTGAAATTTTCACGCCTTTCATACACAATGTCTAGTAATTAACTTCCCCTTATTTTTCAAGAATTCCTCTCCATTGATTAACACTACTTTTACGACAGTAGCGTTCTTGATGCTGATCTTTTGCATAGACGGTACAAGTCCATAATGAACACTTTTGCTCCTTTTTTCTCGTCAGCATTCATCGCAGTGTTGATGTTTTAGTAGCTCAAGCACAACATGAACTTTCACTCCAATGCATTGCTTCGGATTTCGCTTATGACATATTAACAACCCACGCTGTCTCAACTACAAGTGACCTCCTAGATTTAGATGCGATGACTGCTCACTGGAGACTAACCAATAATATGCCGCCTAGGCCTAAAGGAAGTTGTCTCCACCACGCACCTAGGCGGCATCGTCTCAACTATACGCGGCGGCACAGCCACGGATGAAGATGTCAAAGCCAGCCAGCCAGCAACGGAAAGACAGCAAGACAGGCCTCTCTTCATTAATCTGAGGAGGCCAGTGTGGAGATCTACTACACTGCAATGCACTGCACTGCAATGCACTCAGCATTTAGCGTGAACAATATCCGATTTTCAACACTACTAATTCAGTGAAGTCAGTCAGTCAGTGCTTCCATGTGATGGTTGTGAGAGTTGGTGCACCACGGAAAGCATTTCCAACAAACTACACACATCATACATGAACAACTGCCATCCACGCTCACTAAACACTGAAGATAAGATCAGATGGTCAGAGTAATCAGAATAAGCAAGTAGGAACTCACTCTGGCTGGCCTGGCCTGGCCTAGCAACCAACCAACCAACGAAGCAACAACCCATCTCCCAACAAATGTGCAGGGGAAGAAAGTGAGATGGATAGGATTTGATATACACTGAGAAGACCGATTGGAGAAATCACCCGACCAGGCATGTCCAGACCGTCTATTGGGACCCGCATGGGAAACGACGAGTTGTGTGTGACAGGTGGGGGTGACATGAATGATATTGTGTGAGTAAGAAATGGAAGGTTGTGTGGAGTGTTGTAACCAGGTATTGAAGACTGTAGAGAAGAGAAGAGGAGAGAGTGAAATGGCTATGTGGTAGTGAATCCCTCTGTTCCACTAGGAGCCGAATGGACAAATCATAAATAATAATAATAGTCCTAAGAATTGATCAGAATCGCACAGTGATTCGCTCAATTAACAGTTAAAGTGAATCAAATTGGTGTTACTGTTTTAAGGAAATGTGAATTGAGTTAATCCTTTCGTCTGTATATATGAAAACAATGGTTTAAAATTTCATCAATCCTATCAATTAAACTTCCACTTTTTTCAGTTAAGGAGTGGATAAATTTGAGTCGATCATTGTAGTTGCGTATTCGATTTTTACTACGTTCACATTTGAAATTTGGATATTGACAAAGGAATAACTGACTAAGTTAGACAGACAGTCAATTTAGTTCAGGTGATGCATCTCCATCTGGCTGCGATTCACCAAGCAGGTGTATTTATATCCATGTGTTGGTATTCCTTTTGTGACATTAAGTATTTACTCATACTGATTACAATCAAGATATGATGAAGGCGAATACTGAAGTGTTTGCGAACTGCAACTGTATACCAAATTTTCTCACATCAACATCACCACCTTCCCATATGACTCAATAAAGATGGAGACTTATTGATCGATAGCTTCAGGTTTCAACATCTAGTCGACAATGGGAATACAGTTTCATAAGACTTGCTTATTGTAGTCTACAAAGCCCAATGGAATTATACAAGAAGCATGAACAAACGCTTACTTTGTATTACCCGAAGCTCTAGAAATGGAAAAAATACAGATGAAAAATATGTAACTAAGGGTGATTTTTTTTATCCTTTTGCTCTGATTTACATTTTAACCCACAACCTGAACTAATGCCTTTTTAAAAATCTATTCCCATCTTAGTATTACTTAGACTTCGTTTTGACTCAGTTATCGATTTCTAAATCTTTGCTCACTGACGACTATTCACTCCCTTTTCATGTGTTCTTCATTTCTTGATTTCAACTCATGATTACCGAATCATATTCTCATATATCTCATTGCGTAACTTTCATTCCTATACTATTTTTCTGATCATAACTGATTTAGAATTATTTTTCTGGTAAGCTAAATGAACATTATTTTTACCAGTAAACGTAAACATTAATTATATTTAAGTGTCACTGTATATCTGCTGGGAATGATGTAACTAAAAATTGATTTTAGTTTGGAGGTTTTGTGGGGATTTATTTATTGATTTCAGGCTGACTGACATCTTAAGCTGACAGAAGTAGGAAATATGGACCACTGGATTCCAATACAGTGGTTTAGTGGCAACGTACTGGCCATGGGACCTGTAGGTGCTGGCTTCGATCCCTGGCGAGATCAAGGGTACGCACTGCTGAGGAGTCCCATACTAGAATAAAACAGCTGTCCGGTGCTCCAAGGTTTCCAATGGTCCTCTAAATGATGTAAATTTGTGATGAATACCAATCAGAAAAACAAATTTGGCTTGCTGAAGTCCCTCCTACATGGTCAGCAAAGACGCATCTTGTAAACTTTACAATCGAGATCAAATCCTTATTATAACCAAAATTTGTTGAACAACAGGTGACCACTGAAAAAGGCGATGTATTTGGGATCCAAGTTTCAGCCTGATATCATTGTTTCTATATGTTTTCAACTAATGAGACTGAAATCGAAAGAAACATACGTCCTGAATTACACTCCCAGTCATTATCAAACACCTTTAGAGATATGAATCAATATTTCGATATAATAAGTATTTGACCAGTTTTTCAGAGAAAAATGCCCGTTCTCTGCCTGAGATTTGGAACAAAGACATCTACACTTCCAACTCCATGTTATACCAATCAAGCCATAGCAACTGGCTAGTGCATAGCTGATCAATTCACTACAAATAAAAAAATATTAGAAGTAATTCTCATTAGAATGGCGAACACGTCGACTAATACTTCATCACACTAACTGAAATAAGTAGGCCATACCATCACATAAATTACCTATGTGTTATATAGTCATTTTCAACACCAACGTCAAGTCAGTGCTTCTATATGGTTCAGAGATCTGGCGGGTCACGAAAAGCACTTCCAACAAACTACAGACATTCATCAACAACTGTCTACGCTGGCTCGTTACTGAAGCTTAGATGGCCAGAATAATGAGAGTAAGCAACAAGGCCTCTAAATGGAACCCAGATGGGAAACGACGAGTTGGGCGTCCCAGCTGAAGGTGACATGGAGGAGATCGTGTGAGGAAGAAATGAGAGCTTGTGGGCTGTCATGGAGCCAGGTTGAAAAGATTGCAGAGAACAGAGTGGAATGGAGACGAGCTTCTGAAGCTCTATGTTCCATTAGCAACCCAAAGGACAAATAATAATAATATATAGTCATACAGAAGTTGGCCACAATGAAAGTCATTCGCACGACTGCTATATCCACTTACTCATTCACGGTGGAATCTTGTTGCTTGACCAGCAACAGAACACTGAAAAAGTGGGCAGTCTGGAGGTCTATCTTTCACATACTGAAGCGAATCAAGTTTACTTATTTCAATTATGTATTTGTTTATTTGAAATAATAGAGAAGGTTTGTAAATGAGGACTGTTTGGTGTCCTCCCACCTTTAACATTTTTCCCTGGATGTTTCATCAGCAAGCTAGGCGAGTTCATCAGCATTTGCTTCTCGAAGAAATCGTCTGGTTCGGTGATGAAACGCCCAACAACAAACCTTAGAGATTGGAGAACACGGAAAATTTATCAGTATATCATTTGTTTTAAAAATGATCAAGCCAATTTATGTAAACTTGACAAGAATAGAGAATACACGACCTGACCGTGTAAATCATCGTTGCTTCCCTCCATATGACCTGTATTGTACATGTATGCATATGTATTGTCATACAATCACATGTCTTCGTTTAAAAAATGTCATATTTCATAGATCCTTACAAGAACAAACAGGAACTGATATCGGTCAGTGTGTTGCTAAGTGAGAAAATGTCTGCAACAACTTGAATTTTTAGTGTGTTAATGTAGTTGATCAGAAATCTATGCTTAAAATGCCCCTGTTTTTCAATGATAATAACCAGTAACATGAAGACGACTACTGTTACTACCACTACTTCTACGGAGGTTGAGGAATCAACGTTCAGGCCTGTGCAAAGTGCGTCACTTCAGTTATCTAAGTAGCGAAAAAGAAAATAATTAACGAAGAGAGACAGAAGAGGCATCCATAGATGAGAAGGATATGGAAAGAGAGAGAATAAACAAGGAAAAAATTGGTAATCGGTTTTAAACTGTTAAGGAGCTTGGAAATAGATGAATTTGTATCGCTGTGATGGGTCTACGGCCATGCAAATAATTACCAACAGGTAGAAACTTAAGTCAAACTAGTCTGTATATTGGCAGTCAACAGTAAGTGACTTGAGAAATTAGTATCATGCACTGGTCTAAACACCCTTCTCTTACAACACAACACATGGGCATGTACAATCCACTGGAATGTATGGCATATGTAGCAGCTATCATCGTCGGTGTAAGTTCATAACTTCATCGAATGTCTTACATTCCTTTGTCTAATACTCAATAATTAACCTCTGCAATGGTTATTCTGTAGCCCCACAAGATTTGAGGAAATTTTCAAACAGGTATTTTGTATTCACGATGTTTCATCAGAAACCAGAGTAACTAATTTGGTACCATTTCTTTAATAAATGAAACCGTCAACTCATTTGACCAATTCATTAGATATCTTTAAGCTAAATGCATGTTACATACATTGAGATATCTTCTCGCTTCAATGCTAACTATCAAATCAGATGGCTTCTTCCTTCCGGTTAAACCTTGACTGTATCCTTTAAAGCAGGCCGATACGATGTACATAAGCTCTTTTGTTTAACAAGTTTTTTCAGTTAGATTCAATGCTGAGCGTTAATCATGGGCAAACACTTATATCAACTGATTGAGGAGCACCGTAATAAAAGCTATCAGTTGCTTATATCAACTAAATAATTAAAGACTTTCATAAAAACACCAATAAAACAAGTATCTCTCAGTCCCATAGTCCAGTTTTTTAATTGCCTTCCAAAGTCACACGAAACAACGAAATCCTACCTACTTTATTTTTTTAACGAACAGACCTTCTGCCAAGCAACAGAAAAATCAATATGAATATCAGCATATCATTTCACGGCTGATAAAAACGAACGCCAAGGAACCTGAAGTTTCTGGATTCACTCCCTTACAGAGGGGAGGTCCTGGGTGCAGATCGCTGAAGAGTCCCATACTAGGACGAAACAGCATCCCAGTGCCCTCAGGTTTCCAATGGTTCTCCAACTGATGTTACTGCTTGATGAATATTAACCTGAAGTCGATAAACAAATTTCAACAAACCTCCATATTGGAAATATACAGACACCTTTTTGAAGGCAAAATCTCATGAGATAATGCAACGGTCCAAATCGCACCAATTCTCAACGGTACATAAAGGGAAAGTCAATACAACCAGAAAGGATTTAAGCTGACAAAAAGAAACACGTAGCTGAACGGCGAACTAACAGATACTAAGTCACAAAATAATGATATAAAGTGTCAGTATATCTGTACTGCAGTGATTCATTCTGGAGCTTAACATGTACAGCTTTTATCATTGGTTCTACGAAATCCTGATGATGTCATCTAGAAGAGATACACTTGATTAAAACGTCTACATCAAGGGGAAGTCACTTCAGCAACTGGGACAACATTTTTTAAAGACATTTGTTTTACCGAATACTCGTAGTCATCTTATTTCATCCACCTCTAACGATTACCACAAAATTATAGAATGGTGCATAGTGCGCTGTTATACAGGATTCCCAACATAAGGGGGTGGGGGGGGGGGTGATGATATCTTCCTAGTGAAGTTTCCTTGCAAAAATTTATCTGAGCATCGTTCCGTCAGTCTGATTCAATTTTGCAAATAGATCAAGTGGTGATCAGATCGGTAGATGATCCCTCTCATTACCTATATTGAAAAGCAGCATATAAAGCTAAGTATTAGGCGCTATCTTTCCCACCAGTATTTGTTATTATAAATAATAGGGAAAACTAGATTCGAACCACAATTATAAATCAGTCTGCAAGTAACATTTCCTCAGTATTAACTACCAACCTTAAAATACGCATGAATTAAACGCGTATGAGGTTGCCTAGTCTAGTTATGAAAAGTCCAAAAAGCAACCTCAAGGCTGGGAGAAAAGTATGGTAAGTAATTGTAATCTTCTGAGCTAAAAATCTTCACTAACAAATACTCATCGACTTCTGGCACGTCAAAATCCTGACTAGTATAAATAACCTTCATTAGTTCAAAAAATAAACTTGATTTGAAAATAAAATCACTCGAATTTGATTGGTTATCGAGTTTATCGATCCGGGTCAGATAGATTATGAGATCATGCCTATTGTCTCCATATGTCTGTATGATAGCTCAATAGATTTGTATCTTATATGAACTGACCTCAGCTGTGTCAC